GGGCTGGCTTTGAACCGCGATCCTCAGATCTCAGCCTCCTGAGTAGCTAGGATTACAGGCGTGAGCCACCAGCGCCCAGCACAAACAGCAAAGAATTTATCTGAAATTAGCTATCTCTAGCTCAGTGGAAGTAGATGTTATTCCCCTACCACAAGCTGATGTAGCCTTTTCTTTTTGGTCCCAGATGGGGACTTGAACTCAGTACCTGCTGCTTTCGTTCATTGGCTAGCACTCTACCAAATGAGTCACATCTCCAACCCCACCGAGGTAGCCTTTAGTAACAGTGATCCAAATCTGCCAGAACTGGGAAATAGGAGAAGCAGAACAGAACAAGAGAGACTCAAGGTTTTAACTTTGCTAAATACAAAGAGCTACTTGTACAGTAGAAAAATGTCATGCTTTAGAATTTCTTCTAGGTATTGAAAATCATGGAGTTTTGGAAACCTCTTCTGATCTACCTACTTACCTGGTGTCTCTTGATAATATCCTTTAATTTCCCTAGCAGTTTGGGCTCAATTTCTGGGCACAAAAAAATGTTAGGTCGAGACAGGCAATTATTCTGTGGGAAGAAACAGATGAGATACGGTCATGTGGATGGAGTGTTTTGACTCTCACTAAGGGAAGGAAGATAGACAGGTATTACCTGAACCAGTGACTTTTCAATGGTCATGAACATTTCCACATTGCGGTCCATGCGTGATGGGTTTTGGAAATCGTAACGTCTCCTTGTAAAGAAATAATAAATTTAATGAATAATCAGGAGGCAGTGACTTCTCTTTTTCTTGTTTGTTTGTCCTTTGAGAGAGGGTCTCAACAAGTATTCCAAGCTATTTTTTTTTCTTTTTGTTCAATATGGGGCTTGAACTCTGGGCCTGGGCGCGGTCCCTGAGCTCTTTAGCTCAAGACAAGTGCTCTACCACTTGAGCCACACTGCCACTTCTGGTGTTCTAGTAGTTAATTAGAGATAAGAGTGTCACAAACTTTCCTGCCTGGGCTGGCTTCAAACCATGGCTTGAGTGACCAGCGCCTGGCTTCCAGGCTAGTTTTTTTTTTTTTTTTGGGGGGGAGGGGTCATGGGGCATAAACTCTGGGCCTGGATGCTGTCCTTCAGCTTTTCAACTCTAGGCAATCGCTCTACCACTTGAGCCACACCATTACTTCCTGTTTTCTGGTGGTTAACTGAAGATAAGAGTCTCATGGACTTTCCTGCCTGGAATGGCTTTGAACCTTGATCTCAGCCTCCTGAATACTTAGGATTACAGGTGTGAGCCACCAATGCTCAGCTATTCCAAACTATTCTTAAACTCTTACTTCTTCTGCCTCAGCCTCCTGAGGACTGAGATTATAAGGCTATGATTTCTTTCTTTCTTTCTTTTTTGTCAGTCATGGTGCTTGAACTCTGGGCCTGGGTGCTATTATCCCTGAGTTCTTTTGCTCAAGGCTAACACTCTACCACTCTGAGCCACAATGCCATGTCTGGTTTTCTAGTTGTTAACTAGAGATAAGATTCTTAGGGACACTCCTGCCCAGGCAGGCTTTGAACTACAATCCTCAGATCTCAGTCTTCTGAGTAGCTAGGATTATAGGTATGAGCCAGCAGCACCTGGCTTGGCTGTGATTTCTTCTTTTTTTCTTTTGCCAGTCCTGGGGCTTGAACTCAGGACCTGGGCTTTCTAGCACTTGAGCCACAGCACCACCTCTGGCTTTTTCTGTTTATGTGGTTCTAAGGATCAAACCCAGGGTTTCATGCATGCTAAGCAAACACTAAGCCACATTCCCAGCCTGGCTGTGATTTCTTAACATGAAAATCTTGCTAAGCACTGGTGGCTTATGCCTATAGTCCTAGCTATGTCATGAAGCTGAGATCTGAAGATCAAGGTTCAAACCCAGCCAGGGCAGAAATGTCCCTAAGACTCATTTCTAATTAACCACCAAAAAAAAAAGTCCTTCTAAATTATATACACTACTTTCATCTTTTTTCCTGCCCAGGATGGCTTCAAACCACAATCCTCAGATCTTAGTTTTCTAAGTAGGTGGGATAAGACGTTTGAGCCACTGGCACCAGTCAAATGAACAAAGTTCATTCATTTTTCGTCAAGATTTTGTGTGTATGTATCAGAAGGAGGCAGATATTTTTCTGATCTAGCAAAGTAAGATACACAGCTTTTTTTCTTTTCTTTTGTGTGTGTGTGTGCCAATACTAGGGCTTGAACTCAGGTCACAGGTGCTGTCCCTTAGCTTTTTCACTCAAGGCTGGTGTCCCACCGCTTGAGCCACACTTACAGCTCTTTGTTTTTTTTTTTTTTTTTTTGGTCCGGTCGTGAGGCCTGAACTCTGGGCCTGGGCGCTGTCCCTCAGCTCTTCAGCTCAAGGATAGCGCACTACCACTTGAGCCACAGTGCCTCTTCCGGCTTTTTCTATTATGTGGTGCTAGGGAATCGAACCCAGGGCCTCATGCATGCAAGGCAAGCGCTCTACCACTGAGCCACCTTCCCAGCCCACTTACAGCTCTTTGGTGATGAATATCTCACAGAGTTTTCTGCCCAGGCTGGCTTTGAACCACAATCCTCAGATCTCAGCCTGTTGGGTAGCTAGGACTAAAGATGTAAGGCCCAGCACCCAGCCAGAAGAATCTTTTTCTTTTTTTCCTTCCTTCCTTCCTTTCTTTTGGTCTGAGATCAGAAGCTGAACTTAGTTTCTGATGCTTTCACTCATATGCTAGTGCTCTACCAACTGAACCATACCTCCAACCCTAAAGGGTTGATTATTTCTTTTCTTTTTTTGCTTTTAGTTTTATTTTTTTCATCAGATGGCATTAGAACTTAAACTCAGGGCTTGGGCACTGTCCTTTAGTTTGTTTTGCTCAAGGTTAACACTCTACCATTTGAGCTACACCTCCATTTTCAGCTTTTTGCTTGTTAACTGAAGGTAAGAGCCTCATGGGCTTTCCTGCCCAAGCTGCTTCAAAGTGTGATCCATAGAGCTCAGCCTCCTGAGTAGCTAGGATTATAGGCATAAGCCACCTGCTATTGGCTTAGAATTTCTACATATATTCTCCCACCCCAGAAAGATCCCAGAGACTCAGAATGGGAAATTCTCTCTAAACTAAATGTAAGAAGCAGAGAGAAAAGGCATCTCACCATCCCTGGTCACTCTTGAATTTGTAGGCAGCTGCAAGAATGTGGCACAGGGAGCCTCCTGCCTTGAAATCTAGGAAACATTTGATCTACAAAATGGAGATGGAAAATATGTGAGTTACATTAAAAATGATTTTATGAAATCCCATGATGAATCCCTCTCAAAGTGAGAAATCTTTTCTTTTTCTTTTTCTTTTTTCCAGTGCTGGGGACAGAACCTAGCACCTTGAACATGATACATAAGTATTCTATCACTAAGCTATCCCTAGACCTGAAACATTTTACCTTGTGGAAGAGGGGGAAAAAAGAAACCAATACTCATAAAGCATCACTTTTTACCAAGTACTTTGCTGGTTACTGTTGCAGAAATCAAGGTAGATCTAGTAATCTCATCTAAAGATCAAAGAACCAACACTCATAAATGCTGCTCAAGATTACTGAGCTAATAAAATGGCAGTGCCAAATTGTATATAAACTTACCCAAATCTAAATCTCATATCAAGTATGTATGGTATATATGTAAGCGCATATCATTTTTTTTCATGGTTCAGGGAATTAAATCCAAGCCCTTATACAAGCTAAGCAAGCACTTATCAGAGCAACATCCAAAGCTTTCTTTAAAAAAAAAAAAATATTTTTTTTTTGGAGGGTCTGGTCATGGGGCCTGAACTCTGGGCCTGGG